TTGTTCAAAAAATATGTAGGAGTCATACAATAAATTATATGATATCACGTGATTATCGAACACTGCGCCCACTGAACCCTGTGATGTAATTATACAACCACGTAGCAGCCACTGTCAGCCAAGTTTTGCAAGTGTGTTCACGTATTTTTTGCAAATTTAATACGCATACAAAGTATGAATCGGAGTGTAGATTTCAGTAGAAACCAAAGAATCATATATTTATTGTGCTACATGTACAGCTATGAACTCCTATGTTGCATGTAAATGTACATGTATTAGTACATGTGATTTTTGTTTTGTTAGTCGTTAAATTTGAAATCATAGAAATTTTTTATCAAACATAAGCATTTAACGAACGGCACCTTCTCTTCACCGACCTACAAAGTAAATCTCGTCTACATTAAAGCGGGAGGGTCGTCACCAGCGCACGCGCGGGAATTGGGTCCCAAGCGACGATAACAACACACGCTAAAAACGCAAAGACTCATGGGTAGACGCTTGTTTGTAAACAATGACACGCTATGTCCATCTGACGCATGCGCAGGTGACGACTCCTCCGCTTTAAGGTCATTGTTAGAAAAGTATGCATTTTTATTTATTTTATTTGGGGGGGGGTAGGCTCGTCCGAATTTTAACCACGTTCAAAAGCTCACTGGTTTAAATTATATCCAGTATGTGCTATAATGTAACTGATATCGGTGAATGCTTACAAAAACTGATTATATGACAGTCAGGAGTAAATGTGTTTACAATACACAAGTTTGTTGTATCTCGTGTGTCCTAATATAATTCAATTTGCTACGCTAAAGCGTTACATATTGAGTGTTGTTTTGCTTTATTTTGTTACTTCTGGGATACGCTCGTGAGAAAGTTGAAGGCGGTCACATGTGTGTCACATGACATGACCAGCTATGTCACCAACTAACTCGAAGACTCCGTGATGGTCAGACAACAGACAGGATTACGTTTACCCCATATGCTTCTTCTCGGGACCCCCGGTAGTAGAGAGGGACCCATATTTTAATACAATAAAGGATTCCATTGTTAATAAAAATACAAAACATATAATTGTTAATTTCTCGTCGTTTCCACATTGGGACTAGCTACACAAAAATGCCAGCACAACTTTCTGGACCAGGATCTGCGATTTCAACGACAAATACAACAATATAAACACGCATTACACCATGGAAGGCAATAGGAGCTTCTATGATGACACGTAAGGATGAGGTCGATGATTAGTAAGTTATTATGCGTAGTCCAAACTTAGACCGATTTATCCTCAGATAATATTAACTACCACACAGAGTTATACATCATTGAACTGAAGGAAGAAGTGAAAAGTTAGATTGTCCTTGTATTGTGGTTTTCCCGGGCCGATGGTGCATCTCGTTATACCCTGTTTTATGTAATAAGTCTTCTAAGTAGGGAACTAATCTCACAATTGTTCACCTTAATGAGATGCACTCTGGGTAGTGTTCTACAATGTACTGATTATTCAAAAAA